TTCTTTTTTTTTTTTTTTTTTTTTTTCTTTTTTTTTTTTACCAGCAAAGGAAAACAAGAGCAGAGCACTGGTATTTATTGATTTACATATAAATAATATAAAAAGATGGTTGCAAAAGTGACTGGAGACTTTAATTCATCATTAGAAGGACAAAAATAATCCTGCAGTTTTAAAACAATCATTTCAAAAAGGAATTCTGCCAACCAAGCACATAAACTCTTTTCATCCTCTCCTCCTTTTAGAGAGAATTGTACATTCAGCCCCCTCGAAAAGCTCCAAAGACCAAAAAGAGGTCTTTTGCAGGGTGGTTAACCCATTTAGGACCTTTGGGACAAATTATCTATAAAGACAGATTTTAGGCAGTCCACATTCTTACTTATTGGCACTATACTGCAAACATACTGCAAATATACTGCAAACAAAAGTGTATATGGATAAGCGTGTGTGTGAGTGTTGTCTACACTTATTTATAGACATTTCTCCTATTCACATGAAAGCCCCTTTATATAACCAATCGGATTTGGGTACTTTCAATAAATCCAGCCATAGATGACAAAATCCTCTTTGCTTGCAGGAGCCCTGTCAAGCCCTCGGTAAGGTTCCCCATCCATGGCCACGACCACCAGATGTGCCGAGTGGGTGGGTCACAGAGCATCATCACTCATTCCTGGCCAGATGTTCTCATTAACTCACCCTTAGTTGGGGATATCTTGGCAAGCACTGAAACGCATCGCAGGCAGAGTTCAAAAACACTGGGAATGAGGACAGAGGAAGGGGCAGAGGTGGAGCCACAGAAAATCTCCAGCATGGTGAAAGCTGAATTAAGTCTTTTGTCTTTCCCTTCCCGCTGCTGAAATGTGAATATGATCCTGGTTGTGACATAAAAAACTAAGTTTGTTCCACTTGAATGTTTTTAAATAGGAACATGGTTTACAGGACTGTCTGTGTGTGCTGTGTAATGCAGTCTCACCATTCAACCTTGACAGACAATCTGCAGAACACGCTGCCTATCTTTGACCTCACTGAAATATTGCCTCATTTCCTCCATATATTCCTCCATTTCCTCAGCAAAAGATATATAGGCAAAACCCACTTTTATTCACAGAGAGAGTATATTCATAGCAATTAAGAAGTCTCACAGTTTCTTGAGAGGCAGATGAGACCCCACGTTATCATCTAAAAGATGAAAAGGCTGAGAAAAAGCCAGATTTTTCTCAGCTTGATTGGCCACTGAGGTTGACAGGAACTGAGAACGGTAGAACAAGTCTCATAAAACCAGAAAACTTACAGAAATTCCTAACTCTAGATGCCCATGACTCAATCTAAGTCCCAGTTTTAGTTCAAGAGAGTATGTAGAGTCAAGAACTAGGAAAAAAAAACCTCAGAAGTCCTGTTTTCCAGTCCTACAGCTGCTGCATTGAAACTACTGGAAAAAAAACAAAACAAAAACAACACAGGGAGGAAGGGGAAAGGGGAAAAAGAAAAAAGAAAATGCTTTTAAAGGAATATTCAGATAGGAACCAAAGCCTACTGATTAGCAGTTCTGAGGCTGATTTCAGCTAGGAACCATATGAATTAATACCTAAACTTTATGGTTTGCATACTCAATGGGGTGTGCGCACAATGGGGTGTTTGCATACTCATGGGCAGCCCAAAGCTTGCACGTGGCTGCATGAGTCCACTGCCTGGAGATCTGGTTATCTTTAACATCTCCCTGATTTACAGGGGTATAGAAACACCACTGAACTCCATAGTCTTTGTCCTGCTGTGAATCAGCAGTGTCTTCTGACGTGAATGGAGTTGCATTGAAATAAAATTGATACTAGGGCCTCTAATTGAAGTTACTACTAATTAAATCTAGAACATGTTCTATAGTCACAGGCCAAAATTGGGATCCAACAGCTAAATACTAAACCCCATAATTAGTCATTTAGACCAAGTTACTCATACCAAGAAACTTTATTTCCCGTTGGAAATTCATTTCCCAATGGGAGGTAAGCTGCCTTGAGGTTAGTGTTGAAGATCATGCCCATGATGCATTATTACAGTAATAATTCCATCAAATTTTGTCTGAAATCAAAGTACATTTAAAAAAAATAGAATTATAAGCATCAGCTAACTCTTTTCATAAAGAAGAAATTAAATTCTTAAAGGGAAAGGGGAGAAGAATGAGCAAAAGAAACTGTAAGACAATGTGGGAAGTATTTAAAAATGTCATGAACTGCGATTCCTCTCTCCACGTTTGTGGGAGACACAATCACCACTTGGTTTTTCAAAACCACTCATTGCTGACCTTTGAAGGTCCGCTTCCTCTGAACAAATCCAGAGCAAGCTAACAATATCAAGGTTGGTAAAGACATAAATACACTGACAACCTGTACATGGACTAAAGCTTTACAGTGTAATACAAACACTTTACTAGACCACTTCATTTTCTATAGCAAAAAACCTCTCTTTTTTTTCTCAGGCTGATCATTTCCAAAGGTTTTTCCAGCCCGGCGAAACATTTTGTGTCATTATACGGCCCTTCACAGTGTTCAGGGCAGAGCAGCCACGTGTATGGGAGGAGCATCCCCAACCCTTTCCAACTCTGCACACAGTTCTAGGGAGTCTGCATGATCCTTCCTGAGGTTTTCCTGGAGACTTCACAGTTCTCACCTCTCCCATTAAATACCCACGACTGCCATTTTCCCTCTTTGAGCACTGTGCATACCTACAGCCTTCAAATGTTCAAAGAATGCCAGAAACAATTACAAGCCCAAACCCAACCCACGGACCTACTTTTGCTCCCCTGGAGAACAATTAGGTAGTGCAGGTTATGAGTGCGAGAAAGTGTTTGGATCCCGAGAGTGAACACTTCCAAAGGTAACGCTTTGGCCACTTATGGAAGAAAAAGTTGCTTCTTCCCTGGAGAGGTGCAAAAGATTTCTGCAGCTCCGATGAAATGGCTATTAACACCGTTCTCCCACTGCATTATGGGTAATGGCTGTAAAAGCAAATTCATCTTTTACGGGGGAATAGAGACACCTTTTCCAACATATTAAATGTCCTGTGGCAGCTAGGAGAGCCCTACTCCATGATTAAGAACATTACATCTGATGTCTGACAAAGAATATTCTGCTAATTCTTCAGAAACACCTGCAGAAATCCATCACGTTTTCTTGTATTCAAAGCAAACCATTGGGTAGCTTTAACAGGGACAGTCCTATATTCCCCCTAATGGCTGTTCTGTTTTCTGAAGGCAAAGAAAGTGAGTCTTGATCTCACTTACGATAAAGTAAATCAGGAATGATGCCAGTCATGTCAACAGAGTAACACTAGAGTAAAGCTGATGGAACTGAAACCAGATTCATGGCCCAAGACTCTGGCAGTGCAAAAAGTGCTTAAATTGATCCAACAGGAAAAATTTCTCTCATCACATTATCCCTTTTGACCAGACAGTTCAATAAAAATACTGAAGTCCAGACTACTTTCACCAGGTTTTAATCAAAATCTTCTATCTATCTCCTGTACCTTCTCATTTGTGGCCAGAAACTGAAAACTTCTTGTAAATATTTTGCTGGCAAAGCAACATCTCAGTTTTATGATGCCTTCTTGTTTAATTTTCAAGAAAAGAATGCAACAAGGAATTGGATTAGCAATTATCTGAGAAACAAGAAATGGATCTTCAGTTACTTCTGAGTGCCATTAACACACTGAGAACAAACTCTCCACTTCTAAAAATCATTTTTTCTCATTTAAAAGACAAAAGAGATCCTCCCAGCTGCTCTTCCACTTCAGTACATGGCATGAAAACAGCTGAGATGTCACACACTTGTTCAAACTTGTGTTCATGTCCACAGAAATTTGAAGATAGCTGTTCAGTCCTTATTAAGCCACTGGGTCTGCAAGATACTCCTCATGTTTTGTGGAGAGCTCGCCCTTCCTCTCCTGTTCCCTAGGGTGCAACCATGGTGGCTAGGTTTGATGCTGGATGCAATATCACCCTCTTCCTGGTGGGAGCTGGGAGCATCACTGATCTTTCCTGCACCACCAGTTGTCCCTGGCAGCCTGAACGCCAGGAGACCCATGTTACACAGCTCTGTGTGTGTCACATCTGGTCCTGCCCGTGTCCCAGAACTCAGCACCTCACTGAAGTACTGAAAAGAAGCAGAATCTCATTCAGATCAGAAGAAAACTTCCAGGCTGTGTAACTCCCCATTATCTGTTATTTTGAATGTCATGATGCATTTTTAAAATGTAAACTCTCCTTTTTGACAGCTCTGTAAGTTTTGCTACAGGCTGCTCCACTCAGCCCTTCAAGACACGGTATTTGCTGACCTTCACTGAGCAGGAC